TCCAAATAATTTCTTTCTATTTTTAGTAGAGATGAGGTCTCGCTCTTGCTCAGGCTGGTCTCGAACTCCTGACCTTGAGCGATCCACCCACCTCGGCCTCCCAGAGTCCTAGGATTACAGGCGTGAGCCACCGCGCCCGGCCATAAACAGTCTTTTATATTTCCATTAATGTGATATGGTGAAAAGATTAAGACATAGTACTCTACACTTGGGAGAGTTTGTTAAACAGAACAGTAGGGATTGTATCACATGTGGAAGTAAAATGCATGAAAACTTCATAAACAACAGAATAGTGTATAAATTAAATTATGCATTGGTTATTTCTTTAGAGTACATATCCTGAAAAGCCAATATGTAGTTTTATAAGATTGGACAAATATCCTTTTAAAAGTGAGGTAACCATTTAGAGTATGCTCAGAATAGACTTTATCAAAGGAGTCAAATTGAAGCAAATTCTAGTGAAAAGGTAGAGACACTAACTGGAAGAAAAATTTTAGTGCTATGTATAAGAGATCTTCCCTTAGTGTTTGTGAACTGCTTGTATTTTTGTACATTTTGTGAGGTGAGGTTCAGCATTATTGTGGTTGAAGGTGCTGCTAGTCACAGCTAGATCATTAGGGTATTTAAATTTGAAATTATTGTCCTGACCTTTCATTTCTGCATTAGCAGTAATATCAACCATGTCAAGGGCACTGTGATTCATCAATTGTAAATTATTATTCTCAGAGTCATTTGTTGTTTTAACTGATCCATATTCTGCCTTATATACTACCTAGTCAAATATACTCAGGCCATTTTTCATTCTGAGGTCTCTGAAAGATCCAGGGGTTCGGTTAGGATCATGTTTGCTCATGTCTTGGAGGAAGAAGAGAACATTTAATGAATTTTACCATTCAGGGATCAGCAAGAAGATTGTCCCTCCTACTTTTGTATTATCAGAAGTGTATTTCCATTAGATACCAAGACTACCTACCTTAGGGACAGAAATTTGTCAAACTAAAATTAAATTAATGGCCTGGTACAGTGGCTCACGCCTGTAATCCCAGTACGTTGGGAGGCCGAGTGGGAGGTTCTCTTGAGGCCAGAAGTCTGAGACAAGCCTGGGCAACATAGGGAGACCCTGTCTCTACCAAAAAATCTAAAGAATTAGCTGGGTGTGGTTTCATGCACCTGTAGTCCCAGCTGCTCAGGATGCTGAGGTGGGAGGATCACTAGAGTCCAGGAGTTAGAGGCTATAGTGCACTATGATCAAGCCACTGCACTGCAGCATGGGTGACATAACAAGACCTCATCTCTCTCTTTTTTTTTGAGACAGAGTCTCACTGTGTTGCCTTGGCTAGAGTGCCGTGGCGTCATCCTAGCTCACAGCAACCTCAAACTCCTGGGCTCAAGTGATCCTTCTGCCTCAGCCTCCCGAGTAGCTGGGACTACAGGCATGCGCCACCATGCCCGGCTAATGTTTTCTGTATATTTTTAGTTGTCCAATTAATTTCTTTCTATTTTTAGTAGAGACGGGTTCTCGCTCTTGCCCAGGCTGGTCTCGAACTCCTGAGCTCAAACAATCCGCCCGCCTCGGCCTCCCAGAGTGCTAGGATTACAGGCGTGAGCCACCACGCCCGGCCCTTACCCTCTACTTTGGTTAAAAAGCCTATCGGATTGAGGTTCCTAAAATAGGTGTATGCATGTACTATATTGAATATATTTGTCTTCTAATGACCAGGCCTTTTCTTATTTTGTGTTTCTTCTTAGAATCATGTATTAATCAAAACATGTTGAAATCTGTTTTCCTAGCCTTTATTTTATTCATCTTCCCTTTATCTTTTCTTCCGTTTTTAAGTATTTTATCTCCCTGCCACCTTTTGGTTTATAGGCTTTATAAAAAAATCCTCATCTAATTTTTATTTGGAACAAAAAACATTTTACCTTGTGTACCTCATCCTAACTTACACCAATATATTGTCCCTCAGAGAGATCTTTGAGCATTCTCTCTGCAGTGCTGCACTCAAGTCTGGGCCAGCATGCTGTTTCAGTCAGCTCTTCCTCCATTCCCACTCTTACTTGTCAGTGCACTCTAGATTACTACCCATTACTTCCCAAAATGAGTTTTTTTTTCTTATGGGTTCATTTGTTTACTCTTCATCCTGAAACATTATCTATTTCTTAGTGAATTGTTGCACAATTCTGAAGGTTCAGCTTAACCTTCACCTTCAATCCCTATAAACTCCTTCTCTGTGATGTATTTTCTTGGTACTTTTATTCATTTCTGTGTATTGAAATACAATATTTTGTATTTCTCTATTGGTATGCAGCATATTATGTGAGGTAGGTAATGATTTTTGTCCTGTATCCCTTGTTACTCTTCAAGGTAAGGCATATTTTAAAAATACATAATAATTTGATTGAATTTTTGGTGAAAGAGCAATGACAATTTTTATTAAAAGAAAAAGAGTTAGTACCATATTTAAAGTGATTATTCTTTGCAGTTCCTGATGTTTGAATTATACAAAGAGCCAGGAAAATACGGTTTCACATTTCTTTGAGAAAATTTCTTACGTAGGTGATTGTTTATAATTTGAGAGAGAAAATATTATATTTACTTAGATGTTATTTTCCTACACTAATTTAAGCCCTTTTGTGAGACTGTCTGCAATTTGAATAGTAGGATTTCTGTGCCCTTTTCTTATGTCCATTAACTTTTATGTTCATTTTTTGGCTGGTTATATGTAATTTGTGGAGTGTGTCTTATTTTGTTCGATTATTCTTTGTCTTTTAAAGTGATTCCGAGAATAGATTCTAACAGTAATGAAGGTAGAGCCTCAGAAATTGTTTGCTATAAGTAGCTATAATCAGTCTTGTTTATATTTTCTGTACCTTGTATGTTTTAGCCAAGCTAGTCTTTACGGGAAGCGCAGAAGTCAGAAAGAGGAAGATGAGCAAGAAGATCTCACCAAGGATATGGAGGACCCAACACCTGTACCCAATATAGAGGAAGTAGTACTTCCCAAAAATGGTTTGTATTCCTCTGCATGAGAGCGCTAGACATAATTTAATCATTCTTAGCGATGCCATGGGATGACTCACTTATTGCTGTGAGTCCACAGTTCTCAGCTTTCAAATATCAATAGACCCCTCTTTTAAGGTTAACTTTTTTGAAATTTCCTCTTTCTCAATAACTTGATATACTTTTGCCTATACCTTTATTGGGAACACATAGTGCAACCAAAACATTCTCTAAATTTAGTAGTATTTTAAATTTCAACAGAATCAGTATTCCTATGAAAAAGTGGAATACGTATCTATGTACAATTTAACTTGTTCAGATCTCTAGGCATTAGTTTATGTAAATGCAAATTTGAAGACCTCTGGTAATAAATTTTGTCTGTTAAGTATGATAAACCTCAACAAGCCTAACTTCTCTATTCACTGTAATGAAGCTTAAAGTGCACTGCAAATATTCATAAAGTGGTTTATTTTTTTCTAATCGATCATTAGATGTTTTTGTCCTCAGTGAAACTGTGGTGACATTTTGAAAAATAAGCTCCAGCACACTCCAAAAGGAAAAGACATATGACAGCCATTTACTTTATTAATTCATATTCCGTGCCTTCTCTTCTTTACGGGGGTGGGTCATAAATAAGAGACTGCTTATATCAGATGCTCATTCTCATGACCCAATCATCTTCCAAAGGCCCCACCTCTAAATACCATTATATTATGATTAGGGTTTCAACATATGCATTTTTGGGGGGAACACAAACATTCATTATCTTTAGCTTATCAAATTTATTTAGAATCACTATTATCTAGTTGAGGTAAAAATATAAGAAATTTAATAGTTTCAACAGATGTTATCCTGAGAGAAGATATTTATTTACTGTTTTAGCAAATGAAGGATTAGAATCTTAAATATGTGTAAAAATTTTAGATCCCATAGAGTACTGGGCAAAGTATTCCCTACTGTAATTTTTCAGAAATATAGGGCTAATAAATGTGTGAAAAGATGTCAATCTCACTTAACCAAGGGTATGTTAAATTTGTTTTTTTTTTTTTTTTGAGACAGAGTCTCACTGTGTTGCCCGGGCTGGAGTGCCGTGGC